TTGTTCTTGCAGAAGAGACAATTACAATACAGTGTGGGACGCGCCCCATGGAGCCAGGAAGGGTGTTTTAGGTTATACTAATACCATGTTTCCCTGAAAATAAGACCTGCCCATAAAATAAGCCCTAGCAGGATTTCTAAGCATTTGTGCAACAGAAGCCCTACCCTGAAAATAAGACCTAGTGCTGGGCATGGCTACGTAGCGTATCTATACAACCCACGCATTTTGCGGGGCGAGCGGTAAAGAAGATGAGCAGCCCTTCACATCTGCCCCATGAGAGCTCTATTGTTCGACATGAGAGATTGGGGCCAATGGTTCTAAAGGAAACAGAGTCGCAAGAAATTCAGGATGGAATTCGGGGTTTGGAGAGTTATGATGATGTTCCAGAAGAAGATGACTTAACTATACTTGAATAAATGTAGATTGTTGTACCGTACTTAAAAAAAGAAATAACACATCCCCTGAAAATAAGCCCTAGGGTGTCTTCTTGAGGAAAAATAAATATAAGACCCTGTCTTATTTTCGGGGAAACACAATAAAAGCGAGGTCGTTATTAGCACTGTTGGCAGGGCGGGGTGTATCAGGGAAGGCTTCACAGAAGAGGGGACACCTGAACAGGCTTTTAAGGATGAACAGAAATTGGCCAGATGAGCAAGACAGGGAAGGGTATATACCATGTAGCAGGGAACAGAATATGCTAAGGTAAAAGGGCATCTTTGAGAACTATAAGCTGTTTGCTATTCCTGCAGAAAAAAACAGCAAAGTAGGAAGCAGAGCTAGAGACAGAGCTAGAGGGAGGGTAGACATCCTTGACTTTGACTTTGAGAGCAATGATGTAACACAGAATTATGAAAGGAGATGCATGGGGGGGAGGGAGGAGCAAAGTGACATGGGTCGGATTTGTGTTTCAGAAAGATGACACTTTGGTGGTGACATGGAAGGAGGTGAGGTCAAGACAGGAGGCCTGAGAACAGTGAAGTTGCTGGAAAATTCTAGGCAAGAGAACCAGTGGAGAGGCAGGAGGGCAGAAGAAAACTGAGCTAGAATCCATTAATTTTATTTCTCCTTTCCCTTGTGTTCTCAGAACTGATGGACCTCCCCCATCCGGGAGGACAGCATCAACTTTAGTGTGGACCTAGTCCTGTGCCAGGCCTTTGGGGGTGGGGGGGCTGGCCCAAAGCTCTCAAACACCCTCACCGGAGCCAGCCCCACCAACCCAGGCAACCCCAGCAGAAGGTGGTATCCTCCATAGAATGCTTGGCCATGAGCCCCCAAGCAAAGATGGCTTGGGGACCCTCTATTTCTCTGCAAGAGATGAGAGGTCCATCCCCCTAGGTCACTAACTAGGTATCAGATTGTCCATGGGGGGCCCAGGCTGGTTCAGAGTCTGCAAGCTGGACCCACCAGGAGGGGAAGAGTGTTATCCTGCAACCCCCTCGCCTGCCCGCAGGGAAACCTGATTCTGCAGGAAGGCCCTGGACCAACCAGGAATGGGAAGACAGAGATGCGTAGAAAAGGGAGCCCCATTGTCCCTGTCTGTCGGTGGGGGTGGGTTCACTCTCAGTCCAGACTGTGGATCCTCTCCTCCCTCATTATCATCTCAAAGGGGGAAGCAGGGGACTGTGAGAGCTGCCCTCTTCCCCTCTGGAGACAGTTGGCACGATGAAGGAGGGGCTGGGGCTGGGGCAGGGGCTGACCCCGAGGCAGCCCCAGGTTCTGCCAAAGCCGCCCAGGGACCACAGGGCTGGCGCGCCACCTGCTGGCCACTCCTGGTGATGGGAGACAGGCATCGTTCAGCGATGCTTCAGGACAGGATTGAGATCCTAAGGCAGCCGGGATCAATTTAGTGGAATTTGGGAACATACTGAGAACAGACAGGCTAGGCAGTCCGTGAGAATCTGGGTTGAAGTTGGGTATGAGAAGCGGACGTGTGGGTGGCAGGAAGTCTCTATCACCAACATTTGATGGATGCAGGGCCGCCTTCCAGGTGAGCCAACGAGTCTCAGTTTCCCACATGTCCCCTCTTTTACCCACAGAAGGGCAAGAACACCACCACAACCAAAGATCATTGCCCTCAAATCCTAACTAGAGTGTGGGCACAGGGCATGCGGTTGAAATACATTAGGAGGCACTCCTCTGGCCAAAGCTGTGTCCCCACCAGTGTGCACAGCCGGAAACTCACAGTGTCCTCCCTGGGGATCAAAAAGACTGAACACCAAACTCAAAATTTAAACGTTGCTTCACTGAGGCCATTCATTGCATTTCAGCCTCATTAATTGTGCCCCTACTCTCCTGCACACCACAGGGGCACTGGGGGACAGAGATTAATAAGACCCAACTTTATCACCCAGGAGCTACAGGGAAAAATGACCAACAGACCAATGGAACAAACAAGCAGCACGGTAGGATAAATCCTAATCCAGGCTTCCCGATACGTGGCATGAAGATATTAAACAGGAATACCTAGCGGTGCCTGCTGTCCAGACGATTAATGTCACACAGGAAGGGCCACGGTGGTATGCAATAGCAGTACACGCTTCAGTAGCACATACCACCCACCAGGCACATGCTCTGCACTTGTACACTAACTCAGACGTTACCCCTACTTACATACGCTAACTCGATGAGGGGGGTGCTATTATTATTCTCATTTAGGTGCAGTAACTTGCAAAGGTCACATACTTTTTCAGGGTGGGGATGGGATGATTTGAAGCCTAGCTCTGATGTCATAACCACTGCCCCCTACTGCCATTTATTAAGTGCAACCTCCCTACAAGAAGCAACCTTCCTGAAAAATACCTGAGCCAGGGACAACATAGCCAGCAAGGGTAACACTCAAAATCAAGGTCAAACATTAGGCCGAATAGAGACAGAAGACTTTAAGGGCCGCATGGCCATTCTGTCTGCCGGGCAGACAGGCAGTGGCACTCGGGGTGGAGGGCCTAGAGCAACACCTTGGCAGGCATCCACCCCTGAGCCCAGAAGCTAAATGTGGAGCTTCACATAAACACGTAAGGGGAGATAAACAGGCTTCATGGTAAGCCCCTCCGAGCAAGAAGGGACACCAAAGACAACTGAGATTGAATCAGAGCAGAGGTGATTCATGTGGCCACTCTGGTTAAGAGGCGATTCCTGGGCAGGAAAGTGAAGACTGACGTCTGACTGCTTAACGTACGTTAATGGTGACTATATATTGAACGATACTCATGATAAACTATAAGTACAGGCTTAATCATTCCCAACCCCAGTTAACTTCTCAAGAAAAGGATGTGAGTGTTTACATGCATGTTGGAATAATGGAGTACCTGGCACGCTTAGTGAGCTGGATGCATTCATTTATTCACTTAATACATAGTTACTAGGTGCCTATAAGTGGCCACCTTTGGAGACAGGCATGTGCAACCTTGTCTTCCGTCCCCCAAAGGCCGCCCACTGTCGGACTGCTCTGCTTCCCATCCATGTGCTCCTCTGCCCCATGCGGTGCTTCCCTGTCTCCACATTTGAGCTAACTCCCTGCACTGCAAATTCTGTCTCCAGCTGCCCTGACAATATTATCACCTCTCAGTACCAAAAAGTTGGGGTAGAGACCTATTCTGCAACTGCATGAATGCAGGGACCTGTTCACTTCTATACCTGAGCATTTAAACTGTGCCCTGCACTGAATAGGTCTCAGTGACCCCCTGGTGAATGACTGCTGCAATGATCTTGACACAAGCATCAGGTCTTTGTCCCCAACAGCTCACCATCTAGGGGGCACTGCCCGAGAAGTGGCTGGAAAATAGGTCCTTTCTGCTCACCATTGGTGTTCAGAGGACAGGCTATGGAGCCAGACTGCCAGCACGTGGAAGAGCTGGGAGGCAAACTCAGGGACTGTGGTCCCAAGGCTTTGAGATAAGGCCTGGAGGCATGTATGGGTTTCTTTTACCCTTATAACAGCCTCACTTTATGGAGGGAAGGTGGCTGAGGCTCAAAAAGGCAAATCTGGCAAATCTTGCCAGATGTATTTCAGATTTAAGACCTTTCTCGTTTTTTTGGAAAGGTAACATGGTATAGATAGCGCATTTTATATAACACTTCCAGTGGTCCATGAGCCACACCCCCTAACAAACACATCATGATGGTTTCAGCAAATCATATGAACAAGCACACTGAGTGGTATAACTCAGACTATTAGATCCTAACTTTCCTTTGGATCAGGCATTGCTGTTGAAAGAGCTAAGGAAATTCACCCCAAAATACGAGTCCTTGGTATAAAGAGTGTTTTGAATGAAAAGCCCTTAGCGATCAACAGGCCCTTGACGGACTCATCAAAAGAACAACTGACTTCCCTTCCCTTCCCTGTTATCTCACTATATTCCGGGAAAGAAGATCAAGAATGCAACCAGACCTGGCCCAAATCATTTTAAACATAATAACTGTCTCTCAGGTTAATTTACAAGTCAATCTGTCTCCCCCATGCATTCATCCTCCCTAACAGCCATTTATTGCCCCTAAACAGAATTATCTATATTCCTCATCCTCATCTTCCCTCCCCTCTAAAAGAAGAGTATAAAAATGTCTGGATCCCATCGGGATACTGGGTAATCACTCTATGATCCTCCCCATGGACATGGTAAATAACCCCCTTTCTCATATTAATCTGCCTTAACTGTGAGTTGATCTTTCAGCGAACTTTTGGGGGAAAGGGGAAGTTTCCCCCTTACGCCCAAAAGATTACAAAACATTTCTCATTTCCAAAATGTTCCAGATTTTTGATTTGCAAGTGAGGGACTGTGGACTTGTAAATGCAAAGCCCTTGGAAGAGAACGTGGTGCAGAGCAGGTGCTACAGGGACTGGCATGCAGTAGCCACTCAGTACTTGTCAGTGTCCTTCTCTCTGGCCAGTGTTTGACACCACCTGAGTGTCTCATAGCTCCTCCCTCCTATGGATGCAGAGGTGAGATAAGCCCCATCTCCTCTGTTGCCCCAGAAGGTGGCGGTGCTTGTGGACTCCTGCTTACCAGTCTGTGTGTGCATCGTCGATCACCAACAGGATCCTGGGTCTTTGGACAACAGGTGCGGAGGGGCCCAGAGGCTCCATCAGCCCCGCGGGGGCCTGCGGGGTCTGCTTCATGGCACTGGAGAGGGAACTAAACAGGCTGGATCCTGGAGAGGAGAAGGAGGCGGCCAGGGGCTGGGGGTGCCTCCTTTCCATGGCTGGGGAGGCCGGGGAGCTGGTGGAGCTATCTGGGCGCTGCAGGTCCGACATGTAGCCATTGGGCAGGTTGGTCACGAAGCTGCTGTCGGAGAGACGCCGCCGGAGGAAATTCATGGCTGTAGGTGGAGATGGCTTGTTCCTACTCAGGCGTGGCTTGGTGAGCCCAAGGTGGAGGCAGTGGTAGGACTTGGGGCCAGAAGAGCCCGGGGAATTCTGCACGGCCAGCAGTCGGCTCCAGCTGCCTTGGCTGTCCTCCTGGAAACAAGCCAAGCGACACGTTAGCGGACACGACCTCCTCCCCTGTGACAGCAACAGGCACAGCACCTTCCTGCCCCGCCGCTGGTGGCGAAGTAAATTGGGACATCCTTTTGGAAAGGAATTTGCCAACATGTATTAAGAGCACACATACCCTTTTAACCCCAAATTTCCATTTTCTGGAATTCTATCCCAAGGAAATAATCCAAGTTACAGAAAAAGCCTCATGTCCAAATATGTTTATCACAGGATTATTTGCACTAGCAAAATAGCGGGGAGGATCTCAACCTTTAACCACAGGATAACGTATAAATAAACTAGAGCACAGTCACTCAAGGAGCCTTTTGTGGCTACTAAAAAAGCATTCTGAAGGACAGTTTTCAGTAACAGAAAAAATTTCATGTTGCACTATTAAATAAAAAAGATCACGATACAAAATTATAGGTTCAGAATGACTACAACTACGTAAAAGTTGAAATAACAACACTTTGAAGATAAATCAAAATGTTAACCATGACTGTAGTTTTGTAATACAAGTACATGCCATATTTTTTCTTTTTCTTTCCCCTTATTTGTATTTTCAAACTTTCTAGAATGCACATTACTGTGGACAGAAATGTACACCCCTATCAAATCCATATATTGAAGACCTAAGCCCGAAAGTGATGGTATTTGAAGATGAGGACTTTAGGGTTAGATGAAGTCATGAGGGTGGGGCCCTCATGATGGGAGTGGAACCCTTATAAGAAGAGAGACCAAGTAGGCCGGGCGCGGTGGCTCACGCCTGTAATCCTAGCTCTCTGGGAGGCCGAGGCGGGCGGATTGCTCGAGGTCAGGAGTTCAAAACCAGCCTGAGCAAGAGCGAGACCCCGTCTCTACTATAAATAGAAAGAAATTAATTGGCCAACTAATATATATACAAAAAATTAGCCGGGCATGGTGGCGCATGCCTGTAGTCCCAGCTACTTGGGAGGCTGAGGCAGGAGGATTGCTTGAGTCAGGAGTTTGAGGATGCTGTGAGCTAGACTGACGCCATGGCACTCACTCTAGCCTGGGCAACAAAGTGAGACTCTGTCTCAAAAAAAAAAAAAAAAAAAAAAAAAAGAAGAGAGACCAGAAAGATCCCTCCCCCCACCCTCTGCCTAGTGAGGACTCAGCAGGAAGGGGCCATCTGCAAGCCAGGAAGAGCGCCCCCACCAGGACCACGCTGGCACCCTGAGCCTGGACTTCCAGCCCCCAGAGCTGTGAGAAAATGAATTTCTGTTGTTTAAGCCATGCTGTCTACAGTATTTTGTTACGGTGGCCTGAGCAGACTAATACACATATTTATTATTTTTCTAAACAAAATAAGTTAAATGGAAAAAACCCAACCTGTTCATTTGAGATCAAAATATCTCATTGAAAACAATGACTATTTATATGAAGGGTCCCCAGACTTTTAAAACAGGGGGCCAGTTCACTGTCCCTCAGACCGTTGGAGAGTGCGCACTGTGGGCCGGGGACAAGTCGGCTGCTAAGCAGGACAGGCAGCGGTGGTGGCAAAAATACCCAGAGGGCCAGATAAATGTGCTAAGCGGCCCACGTGTGGCCTGCAGGGCCATAGTTTGAGGACACCTGATTTAAACCTTGGGATTAGACTTCATATTTTTGTTAAGATTTTTAAAATATTTTTATTCAAGTAAAATTTACTTAAGAGTAAAATGCACAGTGCTTAAGCATACAATTCTTTGAGTTTTGATAAATGTATACACTGGTATACGATTTGTTATATTTCTATCACCTTATAAAGTTCCCTTGCACCCTTTCTGGTCATCCCCTCATAGACAAACACTTTTCTGATGTGTGTCCACATTTATGAATTCTACCTCTTCTTCAACATCATATAAACGTAACCATATATTTATTGCTCTTTTGCTAATGACTTCTTTCCCTCAATGTAATGGTTTTGAGACTGATTTATGTAATATGTACTAATAGTCATTCTATTTTTTTGATCACTGTGCAGCATTCCACTGCATGGATAAGCCACTCCATCCTCCTATCGATAGACATTTCAAATGTTTCCAGTTTGGGGGTATTATGATAGAATTGCTATATGGATTTTTTTATTTAAGTATTTTTGTGGAGATAGGTAGATAGATGATAAATGGATAGATAGATGGATTCATTTATAGATAGATCTTTTCTTTAGGAAAATACCTAGGGGTTAATTTATTGGTTCATATGGTAAGTATTTATTTAACTTAATAAACTTTCAAAAAGTTTCCCATAGTGGCTGTTCATTTTGCACACTCCATTTGAGAGTTCTAGCTGCTCCACATCAACCTTTGGTTGTCAGTCTTTTTTCATTTTAGCCATTCTAATGGGTGTAAATTGTGTTTTAAATTTATTTTCTCTGATACTTAATGAGGTGAGGCAAGTTTTCTGGGTTTATTGGTCATTAAAATATTCTCCTTTATAAAGTGTTCCAGTCTTTGGCCTATTTATAAAAAGTTATCTTTTTATTTTTGATTTGTATGAGTTCTCTATACATTCTGGATACAAGTCCTTTGTAAAACCTGTATATTTGTGAACATTTTCTACCAGTCTGTGGCTTGCTGCTTCATTTCTTTCATGAGCAGAGTTTGGCAGAATGGCTCTTTAAAAAGTAAAGCTGAGATAAAAAAAAATAAATTTTACTTGAGATAAAAGCATCCCAATAAGAAAAAAAATTATGCCATAGGATGAGACCATACTTCCATATTTTTTATATTAGGAATATTTTACATATTCTTTCATATATATATACATACAACATGTATACATAATTATATATATATAAATTTATTATACATATGTACAGATATTTTGATAATCAGAAACTTTTCATTTTTAAAAAGTCCAACTTATCAAACTTTTCACTTATGGTTAGTGTTTTTGTATCTGCTCTTAAAACTCTTTGCCAACCCCAAGATCACAATCATATTGTCTTATAGTTTCCTTCAGAGGCTTTATGGGTCTAGCTTTTTCTGTTTAGGTCTATAATCCATCCAAATTTGATTTCTGAGTAGTGTATTTGTTAATACACTAGGGTGTGACATTCCCCATTTTTCCCCATTCATTTATCCAGTTTGTCAGCACCATTTAGGAAAATTTTTTCTCCCATTGAATTGCTTTGGTAGCTTTGTTGGCACCAATGGGCTGTGTATGTGGGTCTATTTCTGGACTCCTTATTATGTTCCATTGATCTATCTGTCTTTTCTTATGCTGTCTTGATTACCGTGGCTTTATAGAAAGTTTTAAAATCAGGTAAGGTGAGTCCTCCAATTTACATTTTCCTTCTCAAGATTGTTTTAGGTATCCTAGGTCCTATATTAATATGCATTTTAAAATCAACTTGTATGAAAAATTCTTTGGGGATATTGTTTAGTGTTACATAGATTGGCAACACTAAGAATTGACATCTTAATAACATTGAGTTTTCTACTTGGTGAACATGGTAGAACCCTCTATTTATTAAATTTTCTTTAGTTTCTCTCAGATGTTTTGACATTTTGGACATAGAGATCTTCCATACATTTTGATAAATTTAATAAATTTATTATTTATTATCCTAGTAATTTCTTTTGTTTAATTTTTTGAATGGCTTTTAAATGACACTATTTTCTAAATTTAATTTTCCATTTGTTTGTTGCTAGTATAATATTACTGTCATTATAGTGACAATATATTGACATGGTAAGTTCAAATATTATTTCTACTAGTTGTTTATAGATTCTTTAATACTTTCTGTAATACTTAAACAATCATGTTACCTACAAATTAAGAGATCTTTACTTCTTTCTTTCCAATCTTAATGCCTTTTACCAATTTCACTTCTCTTATTACCCTAAGATCTCCAGTACTTAATAGAAATGATGAAAATAGACACTTTACCAATTTCACCATTAATAAGATCATCCCAGTTTCACCATTAATAAGATGTTAACCATAGGATTTTTATAAATTTATTTTATCAGATTGAGGTAGTTCCTGGTATTCAACCCTCCACTGCTAAATTTGACTGGCTTTAAAAAAAAAAAGATTGAGGTAGTTCCCATGTATTCTTAGTTGGCTGAGAGTTTTTATCATGAATGGGTGTTGAATTTGTCAAGTAATTTTCTAAATCTATTGAGAGGATTATAGGCTTTTCGAAATCATGTATTTGCTTCATAATGTGGTGAATTACATTGATTGATTTTCAAATGTTAAACCAAACTTGCAATCCTGGGATAAACACCACTTGATCATAGTGAATTACCCTTTTTATACATTGGTGGATTCAATCTTGATAACATTTTACTAAAGCTTTTTGTGTCTGTGTTCAGGACCCAAAATGCTGGTCTATAGTGTATTTTTGGGTTTTTTTGCAATGTCTTTGCCAGGTTTTGGTATCAGGATAAAGTTGACCTCACAAAATAGCTGGGAAATGTTCCCTCTTTTTCTATTTTCTGAAAGAGTTTGTGTAATATTGGTATTTTTTTTTCTTATGTTATTGGAAGAATTCAACAGTGATGCCATCTGGGTTTGGGTTGGGTTTTCTTTGTGGGAAAGTTTTTAATAATTAATTTAATCTTTTTTCTTTTATTAAAAATATTATAAAAATAATGTGTGCTTATGGCAAACAATTTCAACAGCACAGAAGACTATAAAGTGGAAAGTACCCCCTCACTCCACTCCCCACAAACAATCATTAACAATTTCTTATATATCCTTCCAGAAATTTTCTATGTGTATATAAGCATAGAAAATCTTTAGTTCTGCAACTTACTTTTACATATAAAAAAACATCTTGAACATCTTCTCATGTCACTATGAATAGACCTGCATCGTCTGCTGTAGTATTCCCTTTTATGGATGTACAATGATTTACTCAACCAATTCTGCCTTGATCTAGCTTTTTAAAATAAGTTAGTTTCTCAATTAGTCTAATACGTACAGAGGTTTCATTTCTGTTAGCATAATAGATTCTAGAATCTTCC